CAATAACTTAACTTTACACCTTAAGGAACCAGAAAAAGGAGAGAGGTCCGACTTAGCTGGCACCGTCTGGTAGCATACTGGACTGTAGTGCTGGAAGCCACACGGTCAACCACTAGTTTAGATTCTTAGCCGCTGGCCTGAGGCATTCTGGGTACCTCATGCACACACGATCCCGAGGAGCTAGAGGACCAGAGGAAGAAGATCGGGCTGTGATGAAACTGTCAAAAGTGCTTTTCTCCTTCTCCCTCCATGTGCATACATGTATTCTGTCTTGAATAAAAATTAAAAGAAAAATCCCTTCTCTTAAAAATAAAAGAGGGACCAGCTGTTAGCTGTTAGCTGGTTCAATGACTATGTCACTGAACTCCCACGTAGCCAACCGCGGTTCGAGTCCCGGACCAGGTGTGTGTGAGTGAGTGCCCAGGATCCTGAGAGGAGAATGGAGGAGAAGGGGTTGTGGTGTGGCCATCCCCCCTGGGGGGGGGGTGATTTCTCGCTTTCTGTCTCTCTGTCTCTGTCTCTGGCTGGCGAGCGCACACGCCCTATAGCAAAAACCTCTCTAAATAAATAAATAATTCGTTAAAAAAGAGAGCAAACTAATCTAAAGCTAGCAGAAAAAGGAAATATATGTAAATGAAAAACCAGAAAAATCTGTTCTTTGCAAAGATCGACAAAATAGACAAACCATTAGCTATAATGAAAAATAAGTGGGGCTGGCAGGTAATGTGGTCGTTAAGGGTGCTGGACTCCCACATGGCTGACGACAGTTCAAGTCCCAGACCTGGCAGCTTGCTTTCTCACTTTCTCTCTCTCTCTGCCCTTCTCTGGTCAAATTTTTTAAAGAAATAATAATTAGAAAAATAAAATAAGATATAGGGGACCAAATGGTGGTATAGTGGTAAACTGTGACGTTCTGCAAGAGAATCCCATATAAGAAGGTTCCTGGTTCAAATTCAGAGCCATCTGAGTACACGGGGCATGTGTACCTGTGACCCAGGGCTGGCTGCAGGCTAAGGGTGGATCATGAGTGCTCGTGAGCAAGGTGCTGTCTCTCTCTCTCTGTCTCATGAAGAAATGAATACACTTAAAAAAAAAAAAAAAAAAGTGCAGTCCATCAGAAGCCAGACCCCACGTCCGATTGCAGTTTGAATCCTGGCCGCAGCATCTTTAAAAGCACATCGGGAGCCTCTGCAGGCGGCATGCCTAAATCCTGATGGGATGGAGAAGTGGAGGATTGTGGCATGAGCATGCCCCATGGGGTGCTTTGTCTCTGTCTCTCTCCGTTTCTGGTGAGCCCATGTGCCTTCTAGTAATTAATAAAGAAGAGTTCCATAATCCAAAACCTCCCAACGACAAAAAGTCTAGGACCAAATGGCTTCACTGGTGAATTCCACCAGACATTTAAAGAATTTACTAAAACTCTGGAAAAATAGAAGAGGGGAGAGCACGTATCAGCTCAGCTTACTTGGCCAGCACGACCAATTCCAAAGCCTTTAGGACACAAGAAAAGCACCGATCAGGATCCTTTATGAGGGGCCAGCGGAGCAGCGAGAAAACAGCGCTCCAAGGCAATCCAATGCTTCAAGATACTTTCCGAGTATCCCAGGCCCTGGTGTGTCCACGATGCAGTGCCGGCTGAGGCCGTAGGGGGATCGTGGTATCAGGACTCTGCTGGGGTGCGTGAGCGCTCGCTCTCTCTCTGACAAATGTGCCTTCTGGCAGATACACACACACGCACACACACACACACACACACACTCACCAATACAGATGCAAAAATCCTCAACGGAATGCTAGCAAACTGAATCCAATAGTGTATTAAGATTATATACCATGATCAAGTGGGATTTATCCCATGAATGCAAGAGTGATTCAGCATTTAACATGAGAATCAATGTAGTGCAGCACACGAATAGAATGGAGAAAACCACATGATGATCTCAACTGACGCAAAAAAAGCGTTTGACAAGATTCAACACTCTCTCATGATTAAAAAAACAAATCCAGCAAACTAGGAATCAAAGGGAATTTCCTCAATATGACAAAGCATATTTAGCTACTCGTCTATGAAAGGCTGACAGCCCTGAGTTCAGAAACGAGGCAGGAGTGCCTGCTTTCACCCCTGCTCGACACTGTGCTGGAAGTTCTAACCAGAGCAATTAAGCAAGAAAAGCAATTAAAGGCATCCAAATTAGAAAGCAAAATGCAAAGCTATTTCTATTTTCAGATGACATGATCCTGTACGTAGAATCCACACACAGAAACATTAAACAGTGACGTGACAGGATATAAGAACAAACAGAAGTCAGTTCTAAGTCTATATGTTACCACTGAACAAAATAAACAGAATATTAAGAAAGTTAATTCTGGGAACAGTATATGGCTTGGTGGTTAAGGCGTTAAATCCCACATGGCAGAAGTACAGTTCAAGTCCCAAACCTGGATGCTTGAAAAGCACACTGGGGGCATGTGTGTGTGCCCGAACTCCTGAGGAGAATGGAGAAGGGACTGCGGTGTGGTCATCCCTCTAGGGGTTCCTTTCTTCCCCATACCCCATGCATGTGCCCCGTAACAAAAAGCTTAAAAAAAAAAAAAAAAAAAAAAAAAAAACACCAAAAATGTCTCTATTTACAATAACATCCAAATGAATGAAATATTTAGGAATAAATTAAACCAATGAGGCACAAGACTTGTATACCAAAAACTATAAAACAGTGCTGGAAAAGGCTGGAGAAGACCCAAGTAGAGGGCGAGGCACTGTGCTCACGGACGGGATGCCCCAGGACTGGGAGGACGCAGAACTCCCACACTGCCCTGCGGACTAAATGCAATAAAAATTCCAGTGCGTGCGTTGTGGAGATGAACAAGCTGACGCTACAATTCACAGCGATCTTGAGGAACAAACCTGAAGAAATGACACTTGCCAATTTCAAAACTCAAAACCCCGTAAAGCTCCTAGTGGTCAAACCAGTGTCCCACGGGCAGAGGGACAAACATAGAAGTGTCCAGAAATAAACCCTGGAGCATATGCTTCATTGCTGGGTTGTTGTTTTGTTTTTTTTTTTCAATTTGCCAGAGGGCATGAGCACTCCCCAGAGAGAGACGAGTGAGGGGAGAGTAAGAAAGCACTCCCTGGGGAGGATGGTCACGCTCCAGTCCCTTCTCTGTCTTGCCTGCCTTTCAGGATTTAGGGCATGCATGCACACTTGCCCAGCGTGTTTCTCAAGCTGTTGGGTCCAGGACTCAAACTGCATAGTCAGCCATGTGGGACCCAGCCACCTCAGCCACCACGTGGTGCACCGGCTAGCCCACTGACTGATTTTCACTCAATATTTACATTATATATATATTACATATATTTTTAAATAACTTACTATTGGAATATTATAAATATTTTTAGATTTATGTATTTTATTATTTTTAAAAGAATTTTTAAATTTAACCGTATTTATTACATTATTATTTTCCAGTTTGATCAGAGAGAGAGGGGAGTGAGAAAGGAAGCCACCAGACCTGGGACTCAGACCGTAGCTGGCCGTGCCCAGCACTTTCTAACCACCACGCCACTTGCAGGCCCCTCACTGACCAATTTTTAACAAGGGTGCCAAGACCATTCAGCGGATAAAGGACAAGAAAACTGACAGCCATATGCGAAAGACTAAAGTTAGACCCTTCTCTTATACGGCATACAAAACTTAGCTCAGAATGTTAGTTTTCTGGGGCCCGCAGGTGGTGTGGTGGTGAAGGCGCTGGACTCCCACATGGCAAACCACAGTCCAAGTCAGGAACCTGGCAGCTTGCTTTCTCACTCTGCCTCTTTCTCCCTCTGGTGCACACACATGCCCTAGAGCAAACTTAAAAAAGTAACAACTAAAAATGTTTTAAATGTTGGTTTTGTAACAAATTAAACGTAGAATACCACATGATCAGCAGTTCTACTCCTGGGCATGAGTATATAATTCAAAAGCACTGAAAACATGTGATCAAACAAAAACCCATATATAAATATTCAGAGTGGCATTATTTACAAAGGCCCAAAGGAGAAAAGCCAGCTGATGAATGGATAAGCAAAATGTAGTATGCACACATGAAATATTATTTAGCCCTAGAAGGAATAAAGTATTAATAATGCTACAACATAAATGAATCTTGAAAACTAAGTGGAAAAAGGGGACCAGCAGTTAGCGTAATGGCTATGTTGCTGGACTCCCACGTAGTCGACTGCGGTTTGCGTCCTGGACCCGGTGGCTTAAAACTCACGCCGGGCGTGTGTGTGTGCGTGCCCAAGATCCTGAGAGGAAAATGGAGGAGAAGGGATTGCGGCGTGGCCATCACCCCTGGGGGGTGATTTCTCACTTTCTGTCTGTCTGGCAAGCACACGCACCCTATAGCAAAAACCTCTCCAAAAAAAAAAGAAAACTAAGTGGAAAAAGCAAGTCATAGAAAGCTACCTATTATATGACTCCACTTATATGCAATCTCCGGAGGCAGAAACCCCATCTTTTGTGGTAGGAAAACATTCTAGAATTACTTTTTTTTTTTTGGAGAGGTTTTCGCTATAGGGTGCGTGTGCTTGCCAGACAGACAGAAAGTGAGAAATCACCCCTCCCCAGGGGTGATGGCCACGCCGCAATCCCTTCTCCTCCATTCTCCTCTCGGGATCTTGGGCACGCACGCACACGCACTCAGCGTGAGTTTAAGCCACTGGGTCCGGGACGCGAACCGCGGTCGACTACATGGAAGTCCAGCGATATAGCCATTACGCTAACTGCTGGTTCCCTAGAACTACTCTTGATAGCTGCACAACACTATGAGTGAACTAAATTATCACTACTGGTAAACTCTGTGTATTTTTTTTTTTAACCACAATTTAAAATGTTTTAAAATTCCCTCAGACCAGTGGGCAAGACCGAATGGAGTTACCTTACCTCGTTAGGGATAGGACCCCTGTCTCTTCCGTGTGAAAGCACAAGAAAATCAGCTCAACATTTCTAGCGAGTTGATGATTCCAGATTTTAATTATGAAGTACAAAGCCAGGTTCTATTGTTGGCCCAGTCTCTGCACCCCCAACCAGACAGTCTTCTTTACAGGAATCCCTTCAGAGCACTTTTGCCACTAAGATAATGAGGCTTCCAAAATGTGGGGTTTTTAAAAAATTCAAATGAATACATACAAATCAGAGAGTTCAAGTAGGCAAGCCTCACTGTTTATTAAATAGACCACTTTCTCTGGACCTTCCCACTGTGAAGCTGTCTAGTTCCAAGACCGGAAACTGAGCCCCCCAGCCTTTCTGATTATATTATAGCACGAGTCTCCCTGCCGACCTAGCTCTGTCATCCACATACGACGTGCCCTATGGAAAAATGAAATCCATTAGAAGGAAACCCTAGGCCTAACAAAACAAATCTCTCCTGCGCTCTTCCTCGTGGGGTACACTGAGCTCCTGCCGTCTCCTGCCATGAGAACACAAGTTGGTCTTCGCCTCGCTTTGAGAACACACAGGCAGCTTCCATCTTCTCTTGTCCATTACGAAAAAGGACCAAATCTGAACGGGACATTTTCTTCATTTCAGCAACACCGGGTTGGGACTGGGCTGTTGCAGTCTGTCTGAAAACTACGGGTTGCATCACTGCAGTCTCAGGAGACAAGTCCAGGGCCTTCTAGAATCGCTCTCATTAGTCATGCCAACAAGAACTCCCAACCACAACTGCCCACACTGAAAGTGGGATGGCGGATGGAGGCTCTCCACTTCTGAACGGCCACATCACCTCTGTCGTGAAGAACGGGGTGTTCTAAGTGGAGAGACGAGGAACGGGAGACTTCTGGGCTAGAGAACAAGACCAAGGATAAACGTGGGTCCAGGCCAGTCACTGACCTAACTGTCCAAGACTCAACTAGGCAGCTTAGAGAGAGGCGAACAAGTGACCTGGCGTGCTCCGAAACCTGTCCTGAACAGATCGCTTGCCTGCAGCCAACATCCGTTCTCTTCCAGCCCCCAGGGTGCCTGAGGCTTCAGACTGCAACAGAAGCAGCGGGGAAGCCTCTTACTCCTCCTCCACTTCTTGTTGCATCGTTTGAAACCTTCAGGGCGTTGTTGAACTAAATGAACTTTTTTTCCAACCATGTCCTTGCTTGGGCTATGCTGGACAAAATGAAGACTTCCAGAGAAGTCCTTATAGTCACATTTCGGATAATTACACTGAGTTCTCAGAGCCCTTAAAACTTTCCTTACCCTTAGAGAAAGTGATACTAGCACCGTGGCTAGTCTTGGCTGTTCGGCTCTGCCTGTTGACAGGTACGCAGAGTCAGAGAAGGGAAACTGAGGGCTGGTCAGCTCCTCAGCTAGTCGGAAGCTAAAGCAGGGGCCTGGCCTCAGCTGCGGCACAGGAAGAGTGGAGGTTTGCTTGCGGTTCAGAAGTTTATTAGTGAGCGGGTTCGGGCCAGCTGGTGTTTACATGCTGGATCCCCACAGCCTTGGCATAGTGGTTCAGGGGATGGGGAGCTTGCTGCTTTGCTAGTCACTGACGATGTTACCCAGGAGGACGATGGGCCTCCCCTGGGTCCGAAGGGCCAGGGCTCTGAGCTGGTCTATCACACAGATTCCACTTTTGTTTCCAGCTCCTGGACTGGGGAGACCAGGGCTTTCAGGATCTTAGTGTAGTAGGGGCCAAACACCTGCTGGTTGTGATGCGTCAGGTTGACAAACTTCTGGCCCAGTTCTGCCAGCTCCGCCTCAATGACAGTAAGGCCTCCGGGAAGGTCTAGCAGAGATCGCTGCACCCCGAGAACCAAACAGCACTTGAGAAACAAGTGGATCCGCTGGTCTGTGAGCAGGAGACAGGAAGAAGGGGAGGGGTGAGATTTCAGC